CACACTGGAACTGAGCATTGGATCTTCCTCGCTAACCGGAATCCATTCGAAGTTTTGGGGGCGGAGATCAGTACCTGCATTGGTCGAAGTGCTCCTCTGAGCCCCTGCCTCCGTCAGGTGATTATGGTGCTAATCGCGATCCCGGTGCGTCAGGCCCCCTAGATCAAGAGGCACAGCAGGGCATTGCGTGATCGACCTAATTTCTTGACTGGAAGCTTACTGACTTGGTGTCAGGGACAGTGCTTGGCTCTCGTGTGAGCGCGGCATAACGCCGTTTGGGGAATATAGATACGCTGTCTTCAGGCGCGGGGAAAGGGTTTGGTGAAAATGAAGGGAAGCAATTTGGAGGTTGCAGGTTTCAAGGATTTATTATGGTAAACATGTAGCGTTCTCTCGCATTATTGTGTATGGGATATCTCCTCTACTCCTGGCTAACCTGCGAGGTCACTTGATAGATCTGCAGCACGTCCAGCGGCACACAGTCCTTGCCAACGTCCGCCGTGCCCAGGGCAATAGACCCAGTGAGCAGCGGACTCTCCGCATCCGTAGGACAATACTTGAAGGCAGCCGCATCCCCATCAACAGTCAAGTACTTCCCATCGTCTGCCTCGCTAATCCCAAAGACGGGCCAGTGGTACGGCTCGGGCCGGCTGGTGTCATTGTAGAAGGTGAACTTCAGTTCGCCGCCTTCAGCCACATCGGTGTAGGCGTTTGACCCGTGTAGCGGGTTGAACGGATCGAGAACGATGAGGCGGTTGTTGTCGGTGTTGAGGTAGAAGACTGCGGTCGAGGTTTCGGGCCCGCCAGCAGAGGAGGCGTTGAAGTGGGCAAGGCTATCGGTGCCCAGGTCGCCAATTTGGGTAACTTTGACGCTGCCGGTGTGGCGCGAGCCGTCGTCGCGGGTTTGGAAAGCTTGTAGTTGGAAGAGGTTGCCGTCGACGTTGCAGCCTGTGTGCGGATTAGCTACTGGGAAGGCCGGAAGGGATAGGGCCTGGCTCTGTATGAAACGTACCGGCTGCAAGGGCCGTTGCGGAGAGGGAGGCGAGCGAGAGGAGAGAGGTGGTCTTCATTTCGTTGTTTGTTTGAGTTGACACTATTTGTCTGAACTGTGGATTGATAACATCAGAACAGAGGGAGTCATGTCATTAAATAGTCTAGATTCAACCGTTGTGTTCTTCATGGCTGAAATTGTGTCTCAGGCTCGGACCCCACGGATGATCCTGCGTGTTCAGTCCAGGAAGACAACACAGCCAATTGCGATGACGGCACAATTGGGATCGACGAGTTCCACTGGGGCTGTGGGAGATTTCTCCTGGCAGGGCTGGGCCTGAAGAGCAGAGGATCTCGCTGGCGTTACATCGCCTCGCAAGAGTTATTTTAAGCTTGCGGTGGAGGTTCCCCAGCTGGGCTGACTCGTGGAGATCTGGGTCGCCTTAAACAGGCCAACTCGGCCCGAAGAGGAGATACTGGCCGCTGTCAGACTCGAGATCCAGTTCCGGGAAGGTGACGAGAGCTAACATTAGATCATAATCGCGTACCGACGCGGTAGATAGCTTCGAACAATATAGAACAAATAAAACTATATTAAGATAACTTTATAGTACTTACTCCTGCTAGCTTCTTCTGTAGTGAAATATCTTTACACGCGTCTAAAACAGCAGAAGCACGTACTAACCAATGAACAGGCAAAGAATAGGAACAGATGCCAACAGATCATTCTTTGCTGTACAGCCCGAAGGACTCCGCATATGATGCCCTCAGCCAGAAAAGACAACTGCTCTAGTTGTTCGCCCCATTCAGGACCCAAGAGAGATTGAATCGGCGCCAGAGGATAGTCCGGTACGAACCACCATTGCTCCCATCATTGAAGAAATCGCTTTCGACAAGCGCACCAATGTTGTAATCGCCTGTCTTTACCATGCTCGAGTATCCACCCTGATGACCCGAGTTCGGCACCGGGGCATCATCCAGCTTGCGGCCGTAGTTGTATTTCCCGGCATCATCGTCATACGTCACACGGACACGCATACTGCGGCGGGTCTTAGCATCGGCGGCATTCATGAAAATCGTGCGGTTCAGGTCTTCGTCCCGGTTATAGCTGAGGATGGAACCCTGGCATCCGGGGTCGGGGAGGCCAGTATCCTCCTTGAACTCGCCGAAGCCCTCGTCAAGACTGCCATAGGAGATGATGCGATATCCACCGGCCTTACGGTCATTGCGTTGCAGCCGTCCATCAGGGAGCTGGACAATCGTACCCTCCGACCCGGCCCCGGGGACGTCCTGGGCAGTCCACTCGCGCTTGCCTGGCTCGCCGCGGCCGACCAGGTTGCGTTCCTGAGCAGGGACGACGAGTTCGCCGGATGTGAGTCGAATCCCGATACCGGGGCCGACTGCGTCCCAGGTTCGCCCCTCGGGTGTGAGCGCCTTTGTGAAATCTTCAGGCTCGGACCAGGTCTCGCCCTCGTCCTTGCTGTAGGTGAGGAAAAGGTGGCGGCGGCCTTCCCAGGTGTCGTCGATGGGCTTTGTCGGGGTTCCGTCGTGCAGGGGGAGACCGGTTTGAGAGTAACTGCCGTTATTCCAGCTCATCCAGAGATAGATAGTGCCATCCTCGTCGACGACGGGGGCCGGGTTCCCCCATGTGCCGTCGCCGGCGCCAATGACCTCGCTCAGACCCTCCCAGTCGTCGATGGTCTTGCCCACGCCGTCAGTGGACTTGGAGCGCTTGTAGACGAGGTTGATGTCGCCAAAGTCGCGGTCGTTGAAGCGGCGGCCCTCGGCGAACGCGATGAGGCGGCCGGACTTGCTGCGGACGACGGCGGGAATACGGAAGGAGTGGAAGCCGATTCCTGTAGACAGTTTGTCGGCTCCGTTCATGTTGGCGCTGCGGAAGAGCGCGAACTCATTGTGCGACTGGGCCTTGTCGGCGGCTGGGTCGTCGACCTTGGCGAAGGCCGCCGTGGCCAGGAAGGGGAAGAGCTTGAAGAAGCGCATCTTGACGATGCTGAGAGGGATGAAGGGGATTGTCGAGTTGGAGGACAATGATCTCGGGGCTGAGATCTTCGCGAGCTTTATACAACATCACGCATATTGAAGCTGTTTTTGGAACCTGGTGTCTGCGACCTCGTCGACCTTTCAGAACAGCAGAATCGCACACGTGCGAGCCTCAGATCCAAAGGTTCTCAGGCAAGGTAGCATCTGCGTATTGGGGATATTTCACGGCGTGATCAGCCTCGGTGTTGACAGGCTCGTATCCAAGAATAGGCACGATCGACCTGTTTTTCGCGTGTTGAAGAGATTCCAGACAAGCCTGACGGTGATCGGCGTCTGCAACACGAGATCTATTTCTGCCCCCTCGTACTCGGCTGTTGTGAATGGCCTTTTGGAAAGTCCATGTGCTGGCGACGAAGAACTGGGACCTTGCATGGCCAAGCGAGATCTTAAACGAATGCGACCCAGCCTGGAAGAAGCCTGTGTATTTTACAAACAATATATACTCAAGGCTTCATATTAATCGATTAATACGTGCTATTTCTTAAAATTTATATCTTATAAGACTTAGCTCTTGATGGGGATCCCGGTCTGTAGCGAGGCAACACCATCAGGACCAATAATGTCCTCTAGACTGAGCCACAAATACACCAGGTGGTCAGCGACTGCATGAAAAGGTTGAGTTTGAATAGGAATAAGCCGCAGAGGATGGGGTGCTGCGATAGGAGTGTGTGCTTTTCGAGGGGAGGGCCAACTCTGGCGAGGCTAGACTGCACTCGAAGATCATGGAATAGATCTTGGATGATCCATGACTGCACGGCTTCGCTTATACCTTGAATCTGCTCATCACCTTCTTTGGGCCAGAATTCGGGCGGCGGGTGGGTGGTGGACAGTTGTTGGTACTCCTTGATGGTCTTCTAGATGCGAAGCCCATTCATGCGAAGGTCTACAAATGCACCCAGGGCGCTGTGTCGCATGGCATGATGCACGTCGAGGAAAATCTGGGCAGCGAAGCAAAGCCACAGAGTCACTTGCTTAGTTTTGGCAAAGTCGGCGAGGCCGCGAGTCTATAGAATGTTGTTGTGAACCGATTCTTGTGTTGATAGTGAGAATCAACTGGAGGGAGTGCTTGTTGTGTGTTGAGGTGGGCATCCACGCTTAGTCATGCGGACATCCAGCACCTCG